AACAAGCATACAATAAATCATCTCCTCTGCTGTCTTAGCTGAAGAATCAAAAAAAGGAAAAAGAAAAATTAAATTTCCAAGAAGTCAAGACATAAGGCTGAGCAGATGCTTTATTCTCAAAACAGGAACTGATAAAAAATAAAGTTAAGAAACTAGACCTCTGGAGGCCTAACGCATATCTCATCATCCTACGAAATGAAAAGCTTATCTCTCAAGGACACTGTCCTCAGTTGGAGTCCACTATCAAGCAGCAGCCTACCTTCCTCCCTTCATGCACATGGCTGAGCAAGAAGCAGGAGCATAGACAGGACCAGATACTCCATGCCACTGGCTCTGGCAGAACTCTCCATCAGAGAGACAGTGCAAAGCTGGTGTTAATTCTGGAATACCTCAAGTACAAGAACAGCCTAAGCAAGGAGAAAAGGAACCAAATGGCTCTCGGTCCAAAAAGGAAGTGGCTACGGAGAAAGCAGACCATGGAAGAGATGTGGTAGCTCTGGTTCCAAGTGCACATCAGGATTGCTGGCAGGAACCATCCTTGACCGTGAAGGCAGGTGGTACCTGTACAGGACTCGTCATACTCCCTGGCACAGACCCTTGGAAAATGGAATGAGGGACTTAGCACAAGCACCTCCACTTCTGACAAAAGGAAAAAAGAAGTAAATAGAGGTCGGGGACAGTGACTCACACCTATAGTCCCAGCACTTTGGGAGGCCAAGGTGAGAGGACTGCCTGAGACCATAGGTTCAAGACCAGTCTGAGAAACTTGGCAAGACCTCATCTCTACAATAAATTAAAAAAATTAGCTGGGCATGGAGGCACATGCCTGTAGTTCCAGCTACTTGGAAGGCTGAGACAGAGGATCACCTGAGCCCAGCAGGTCGAGGCTGTGGTGGCTGTGAGCATGCCACTACACTCCAGCCTGAGCAACAGAGTGAGACTCCAATTCAAAAAATAAAAATAAAAAAATAAAAGAAGTAAATAGAGCAAATCTCCCTCCAGCAAGAGGTTTCTGGGAGGAAAAGAAGGCAGTCCTCAAGATACAAGCAGATTTTGTTATAAGGGCAAGAAATACAAACTAAAGCTCCTTCCCAGATGTACTAACTCACACTAATCTATACCACCCCTTCACTCTTGCCCCATCCAAACCCACATCCACAGACATTTATACTTACATCAATTTTTTAAAGGAAGAATACTATCTACAACATTATGTCAATTGTGGCATACGTCTAAAAAACAAGCTTTAGCTCCAACAGACAAAATGAAAGCCAGAATAATAGCAGAAAAAGAAGATAACTCTAAATGAACAATGCCACAAATGCTTTTTTAAAAGTAACCAAAACATTCCTTTCTCTCTTCTCCATAAAAAATATTATCATGAAGGAATATACCATGTTCCCAGCATTATGCTAGGTGCTACTGTGGAGAAAATCAAAACCAAGTTTCAATAACACAGACCCCTGAAGCAACTGCAGGTTTAAGTGCTTGGCTGTATGTTATAGACCATAAAGAAAGGAAACAGATCTTGCAGAAGAGCCAGGTGGGAAGCAGAGGACAGGACACTCCAGACTGGGGAGTGAGAACAGGAACCACAGCTTGGGCAGGGCAAGAATGATGAGGTAGATACATGCACACGTGGGAATTTCACTCACAACCACCAAACATGTTCAATTTCACCTACGTAAAACCACAAATATACACCCAATGTGGCCCAAACACGGATATTCCAGGAGACAAAACACTTCAACGTCACATCATAGCACCTGGATCTGCAGTGGTGGGCTTCTGGTCACCTTCTGCAAAGTGAAAGGAATATCTAAGGGACATAGTAGCAGGATCCCAGGTGCTCCTATAGCTAAATGCTAAAAGTCTGGGAGGACATCAGGATGATATGAAATTAAACTACCATAGAGAAATCTGCTTTCTGTCTGGGTCAGGGTTTACAGCTTCAGAGGAGGGTAAGGGTGCCACCCTTTGCTGGGACTGCATTCATAGCTACAGTGAACCAACTACTCTAACTTGTAAGTCATGAACAATCATTGACCTGTACAATGAGAATAGCAGCCAATTCTCGGGATCATTAAGTACATATCGATGAAATACATGGAAATACACACAAATACATGCAAATACATATAAACTGAACATTCCAGATCTTGACTGATGTGGTGATTAGGTGTAAAATTAGACCTAAAAACCGGGGCATTAGCCAAGAGCCATGCTAATGAGAGCTGGTGATTCCTCCCACAACCTCCATTACCACTTCAGACAACTCAGCTTATTCACTATCTCCCAAACAGAGTCAGCTTTTATGCCACCAACCCCTGCTCACACCACTTAATCCACCTGGAATGCTCTCCACCTACATGTCCACCTTGACAAATCCTATCTATACTTTAGAATTCAGTTCAACTCCTCCTCTCCTCCTATATAAGGTATTTCAGCCTAAGGCATCTCTCTCCCTTCTGAACTTCCAGAACAATCTGTACTATTACTTGGCAAATAATCACCTAAGGGCTATAAGGCTGATTTCCTCTGTTGTTTCCTTGAACTATTCTTTAAATCAATTTTCACCTTTCTCCCTGTCTTTACTGAGATGCCACCTCTTTACAAGGTAAGGGCCAGACCACATCTTATAGTTCTTGGGATTCTCCCACCTTATCTTCTAGAGTAGCCTGCACAAAGCAGAACTAAATTGCAGTGTTCTTCTCTGTGCACACAGGAGTTGCAAGTCTCACTTTAGGAATCTATCTTGAGATTCAAACCTCACACTTAGAGACTTAATGTCTAAGAACTAAAATAAAACCATTCTAAGTGCCCTCCTCCAATTTAATTTTTTTAAAGCCACATGAGTTTTAATTCTATTACAGAGGAGTAGTGCTCCAAACTAACGTAACCCAGTTAGACTCCAAGCCTTCAATTTCAAATTCTGAAAATTTTGCAAAAGCTCTGCCTAATGTCATGTATTTGCTGGAGGTGACAAATGGAGGTTAAAATGAATTACTCATATTCAACTATTACTATAGTGTCTTGTACGCAATATGTACTTAATAAATGTACTTAATGTCTTAGAAATTGAAATGAGCATAAGCTGAGAATGACTAAATTATAAAGATATTTCTCAAAGCACACGACTTCTCTCCTAGGGGAAGGGAGTGGAATCTCTTAAATAACTCAAAACAACCTTAATCTATGAAATTACTATATAACTTTCCCTCTTTATCTGCTTTCTGTTCACTTGAGAAAAATTTAAACAGTTTTAGTAATATGTATTTGCCAGGCACTACTCTTTGAAGTTACATATATTAACTCACTTAACACTCAGGACAACCCCAATTCCACAGATAATAAGACTGAGTCACAGAGAAGTTTAGTAACTTGCCCAAGGACCATAGCAAGAAAGTGGTAAAACTAGAATTTGAATTTCAACAATCTGACTCTTAACCATTATGGTAGCGGTGGGTATTGGTTACAGCTGATGTAGAGGTATGTCATTTTTATTAATATTTGAGATCATTTCTATCAAAGTTGAGCATTCAAACCTCAATCAAAAATGTAACATCTTACCATTATGCTGTGTATGTAATAAATCTGATGATACCGCTTCACATTGGAACACTTCATTCAGAAATAAACTCTGCAACTTTGAGATGCCTAAACTTGGAAATTTTAGAATCATAGAATATGACCACTGAACGCTCCTTTTTATTTTATAAACTAGAACACTCAGGCATTCTGACCAGCTCAAGGTCAGTTTGTGGTAGGCAGGTGCAGAGCTCAGGTCTGTGCTCCTGCCCCCAGGCTCTGGGGCGTAATGAAGATCATCCAAGAGCAGATAAAGACTCTATGTGGTTTGCAATTTCAAAGAATAAACTAGTTTTTACAATTTTAAATTAGGATTGCCAGGAGTAATTAATACAGAGAAGTAGAATTAGTTAAGCACTGAAACCTACGTTATGATTTATACTTTATAAGCTTAAGAAGTGGATGGTTAGTCTTACGAGAAGTGTGGCCAAAGCTTCCAGGGAAACAGACACACAAACCCAAAACTCAGCTATTTTGAAACTCGACTTACTGTAATGTTTAAGTCAACTACTTTAAAATTATGTTTACATATGACTCTATCAAGAGTGAGGAAAAAAATCACATGCAGGGGACTTTCTAAAACAAATTCATCTTGGAAACCCATTTTGGGGGTGTTGAGTTGTGACTACATTCTCAGGGATGTCAGTAACACAAGGGCTCCATCCACAACTCCATGAAAAAACCAAAACCATGAACGCCTTGTCAAATTCAGACAGTTTATCTTGGCACTGGCAAGTAGAGTAGTCTCTTCCATGTCTGGAAACGTGTCTAATTACGTTTAGAGAGTAACTAAAAAATAGCCAGTGTCCCGGAACAGACAGCTCAGGGATCACTCCATAGCATCCTGAATGACATGATGGAACTATGCCAGGAAGAAAAAAAAAAAAAGACGAAGAAGAAAGAAATAAAGAAAAGAAGCGAGTGTGAAACGAGATGAATCGCCGGCCTCTCTCCAAATCAACCCTCCAGTCTCCCGAGGGCCCTCAGGACCACCACGGCTCTTTCTCTGAAGCTTTTATTTTCCTTTACTTTTGTTTCCATTAGGTCACCTGGCCCGCCCACATCACTTACCTGGCGCAGGGCAGGCCGGTGGCCGCCCAAAGCGCTCCCTGCAGCTCGGCACACCCCTTCCACCCACAACCCGGACAGCACCCAGGGACGCCCCCGCTCAGGAAAGCGCGGCTCTGGAGCCCGGCACGCCCCTCGCACTCCCAAGCGGCCGCACCCCAGCGGCGCCCTCTCCCGGGAAAGCGCAACCGTCCGGCTCGGCGACCCCCGACGCCGCCACCCCGCCGCGCTCCATCTCTGGAGCTCGGCGCGCCCCTGACACCCCGAAGCCGGACGCGCCGCAGGGGCTCCCCCTCCCGGGAGAGCGCAGCTTCGCGCCCCGGCCGCCGCCGCTCCGCCCTCACCTGAGCTTGAGGTTGGCCATGAACTCCGGCATGGAGACGGTGTCCATCAACACGAAGTCCGCCTTGCCGAACTCCAGGCTCTCCTGCTCCGCCATGGCGCCGGCGCGCGGGCTCAGGTGGACGCGCTCGGGCCGCGGGGACCGGGCCGGGGGCCCGCGACGAGCTCGGGCGGGGCCGGGGCGGGGCCGCGCCGG